AGAAACACGACTGGTAATTTTCGGACATTACACCATTCACATTTAGTTAGATCAGAGGTATTTAAAATAATCTCTATAGGATCACTTTCTGGTTCTAGAGGAAAAACAAATGGAAATGTTAAATGGATCAATCAATTTTTACAAGATCAAAAATCATGAAAGAAGAAAATACAACTTTAAATTTAAAGGTCTATTTATTATTCCATAAGTATATTAAGAAAATTTCTATACTTTTCCCAAAATAAGAGGCTCTAAAAGATTATGCTTTGTTGTGTTGTAGAAAGAAATTACACCAAGATACATGCCCTTTGTTAAGACATAGATAATAATGAATAATCATCTTAATGAATTCAATAAATACCATTTAACCTTTTATTCCTATCAAGTACTTTAGTGTACACAATGCTTTAGTGAATAAACAGATATAAAGTAGCTTACCATCTAGATGAATCTTGATAAAATCTAAACAAAACTAAAAAAAATAAGATAATTAGTATTGATCACAGATTTATAAAGATTTTACACATACCTTATATGATAGACTACATGGACCTTACGTCTTTAGAAGGAAGAGAAACCAAGTCATTTACTATGTGCTTAAACTTAAGATGAAATATTTTCCCCAAAAAATCTCTCTCAGAAAGTAGGGCTTTACTTTTTTTTTTCCAAGTACTTAGAATTTTTTTTATATTGCTACTTTGTCTCTAGAGAAACTAACATATTATTATAATGAACACTTGAATACTCCTTACTCAGATTTACTGTTAATATTTTGCCACATCCACTGCATTACTTTGTGGTGTGTGTGTGTGCGCGCGTGTGCGCGCGCACACACACACACACACACACACACACACACACACATATGGTCACTTCCCTTTTGCTAAACCTTCATAAAGCAGGCATTTCATTTGCAAATCCTTCAGCATATATTTCCTAAGAACAAGACATTATCCTGTGCAACCAAAACATTAGCACATCTTAGAAATCAAGGTTAACTTAATTCAAAAGTTCATACTTTAAATTTCACTAACTGCTCAAAATTTGCCTTTATCCTTGCTTCAACTTTGCCCAAATCCATGAATCTATCAAGGTTATATTATATTGATCTCATATCTATTCCATTCTACACTAGAAATCAGTSTCTCTCTGTTCTTCCTGGCCGGGCCTTTAAGAAACCTAGGCTAAGTTCTGCAAAACATCTAACATGTATCGGATTATGTTTCATCATTTTTAAAATTCAGGCCACATATTTCCACACAAACTGCACATACATGATGGGCTGATACTTCCCATAATTTCACATCAGAAGGCAAGCTGTGTCAGTTTCATTAATGATACAAATTTAATCACTTAAACTAAGGCAGCAACTGGTAGGGTTTTCCACTTGAAAGATTTCCTTTGCAATTAAATACTCTTGAGAAAAAATTCTTGAAGGCTTGTGAAAATTGTTTTCTCATCATCTTTTTTTTAAATATTTTTTTTTAGTTGTAGATGACACAATACCTTTATTTTATTTATTTTTATGTGGTGCCGGGATCAAACCCAGTACCTCATGTATGCTAGGGAAGCGCTTTACCACTGAGTCAGAACTCTGGTCCCTTCTCATCATCTTTTACCCAATGGTTTTAGCACCCACTGAAAATCCTTGCCTGAATCAGTTATTATAAGTGGTTATGACAGTGTTTTAAATTAATCATTTYAATGTGAAGATTTAATATTAAGCCTAACAAAACTTAAGTTACTATTTTTGCATATTTACAGGAGTTAAGAAAATCAAAAAAGGAGGTAAGTACTTTTAAGTCCACTTAAAAAAATAAGATGAATCGATATAGATAGGGAAGAAAAGCAAATACACATTGTCAAAATGCTTAGGACTAAAAGTATTTCAGATTTTGAAGATTTTTGAATTTTGGAATATTTGGTTGGATTTTACTGTTCAAGCATCTGTAACGTGCAAATCTGAAATTGTAAATGGTCAAAATCCAAAAATTCTTGGTGCATAATAAGCAGGAGTTCTACCCTGAAGCTATACCATCAGCCCCAAGACAACTTTATATATTTCTTTATTTTGATGGGGGTCTCAATATGTTGCCTAAGCTCATCTCAAGCTAATGGGCTCAAGTTATGTGTCCCCCCACCCACCTGTTTCAAGTTCCAGAGTAGCCGGATATACAGGTGTGGACCACCATAGCAGGCAATCCAAATCTTTGAGTATCATGTCAGCATTCAAGTTTTGGATATCAGAACATTTTGGATTTTTGGATTATAGATAATCAACTTGTACAATATGCTACTAATAGTATAACTTAACTGAAGTATATTCACTGTAGAAGTCTTTAACACTTTAGATGGAAAATTTTCATGATGTAAAAAAGAAAATAGGAAAACATACATTTAGTAATTACTAGAATAATTGCAGTCTAGAATGTCATATGCATATTTTAACAATTGCATTTCAAAATTAATATATTGATTGGTTTCACTGGAAAGTAACACATTATTTGGGCTTTTCAAGAATGGATACTTATAGCTTGGAAGCTTCTACTATACAAGGAAACTAAAATTCTATGCTCCAGAAAAATGCTACATGATTCAAAAAGCAGCAATAATAATGACATAAAATATTTATGTCATCTAAAAATCTGCATGTAATTAAGCATAAATATTAATATTTTAAGTAGACATTGGACTATTTCATCTATATCTCTAAAGTTTCTAAAATTAAAATGATCAAAATTCTTGATTTTATGTCTTTCATTGAAAAAATGAGAAAAGATTTTATATTTAGACATGTATGGCATTTCTAATATGTAATCTATAAATTACTATCACACAGCACATTTCTACATTTCATTTTCCAGAATTATTTCAGTTAGCATTTTCATTTTAAAAATTTAAACAGTACATTTTATATTATACACACTATCTTTTGTTTTTTCCATTAAATTTACAAAGCTAGTTTCAATTCACTGCAGCATATATAACTCAACCTATAACTTTTATTAAAAAAAAATCACCAAATTGTTAATTTTTTTTTTTTTTTTTGGTACCAGGGATTGAACCCTGGGGCACTTTAACCCTGAGCTACATCCCCAGTCCTTTTAATTGTGAGAAAGGGTCTTGCTAAATTGCTGGGGCTTGCCTCAAACTTGGGATTCTCCTGCTTTATACTCCCCCAAGTAGCTGGAATTAGAGGCATATACCACTCAGCCCAACAAATTTTAATGTAATTCTTTTCCCCTCCCTTCCTCCCTCCCTTTCTTTCTTTAAAATTTGTACCAGGATTGAACCCTGGGGCACTTCTGAGTCATATCTCCAACCCTTTTAATTTTTTGAGACAGGGTATCACTAAATTGCTGAGGCTGACTTTGAACTTGCAATCCTCCTGCCTCAGCATCCAGAGCTACTGGGATTACAGGTATGTATCACCATACCTTAATAGAGAGCTTCGAAACTAAATATGCAACTTTCATTAAATGTATAAATCACCAGCAAAAGCTCATTCATCATACTGAAAAGTTATAATAGTGCTAATGTGGGGGAAATTCATAAAACCTAGAAAACCCCAGGAAATTTGGGGGATATAAAGTACACAGAGTAACATTTTTGTTAAATTATAGAAAYCAAGAAAGACTATCTGTATGTGAAAACCTGTAACAAATACAAGTTTTAGGAATCACTAGAAAACATAACATTTGTTACAATGTTACTGGACAATAAAGGGCAAATAAACTATATATCATTTGCTTTAAATCTCTGAGGGTACTTATATAAAACTTTTAGTTTTTAAGTTGTGATAATTGTTTTGATAGAAAACAACTACTGGCTTCCCACGGAGCTTTGCTCTGCTAAGAAATCATATTCACAGCCAGGCATTTAGGCGAAGACTGCAATGTTAGCCACTAGGGAGGCTGAGGTAGGAGGATCACAAGCTCAAAGTCAGACTGGGCAACTAGTAAGAGCCTGTCTCAATAAAGAAAAATAGGTTGGGGATATAGTTCAGTAGCAGAGCGCTTGCCCAACATATAGAAGCGTGCATTCAATCCTCACTACCAAAAAAAAAAAAAAAAGGAAGAAAAAAAAGAGGAAGAAATAATGTTTACATTTCATTTGCACCTACAAACTAAGCTGTAGATTTTGTGTGTGTGTGTGTGTGTGTGTGTGTGTGTGTGTGTTTATGTATTTGTTTTGGATCACATTGTTTCTTAGGATCATGAACCTTTACCAGAAATAAAAATTATGTCTTTATAAAAAAATAATTATTACTTAACATAAAATGAGAATAAAACTCCCTTTTAAGTTTTCCATTGGTTTATAATATGTTCTTTTACAGATACTGCTTTATGAGAGACAGGGTTTGAAAATACAGATAGGAACAAATAATCAGAGACAAGTTAAGACATTATAAAGCAAACGTCTACAGAGTAAGTACAGTGCTTTAGGAAGATAAATCTATGAACAATATCAGAAAACATGAAAAAGAAAATGATGAAAAAGAACACTGCTTAAGGAAATTAACATTTCAAAGAGAAAATGAATACTTAAATGGGCCTGGTGACAGTAAAATGATGGGCAGACAGGTATAATAAGGAAGATAAAGGTACTATAAAAAATACATCAGGCATTGTGAATATTAAACTAGTCTAAAAGTATATGCTTCTTAGATGTTCACTATATAGTTCAAGAACCTCTTTCTAAAACTTTTGACACTACATAAATTTTAAGCTGAACTTGAAGCTTTTGGATTCTTTTTTCTCTTACTATAGTTCTTTAACATATCCTTTTTAAGTAATAAGCTGGCATGAGAATAAAACTACTAAATTTTGGAATGTTTTCTAATTCACTGGTTATCTTCTTATAGTGAATCTGTCATTACTCTGGACATTAACATTATGATAAATTTTTATCCAGTAATTTTTAATGGTGAGGCATTACTATTTATATATTCTTAAAACAATCTGAAATCTTCAAATAATTTTGATGTTCTATTAACTTAGATAATTTAGCTTACAAATTTTAAATACTATAGATCAGGTTTTGCAATGGAATTTATCTTGTAATCAGTACAACAAATAGCTAAAGAATATACTTACAATAACAGGCTCTATTAATAGTCGGAACAGTGTTCCTACTCGTATACTTCGACAATTTAAAATGACACTTTCAAACGAACTTTGGCAGCTTAAAGATAAAGAATTAACTAAAGTTTCTTGAGAAGCCACTTTACGACGCTTTAGAGGTGTGCTGATGATAGAATTGCCAAACTGAAAAGGAAAAGAAAATTTTCACTTAGTAAGTTGCCATAACAAGGCTACAAATCCAGTACACATACAAAGAACACCTAATATAAGGAACGTAATTATCACAACATAAAAATAATTATTCTTAAACAATATTAGATGAAACAGAAAATTTCTTTATAAAAGTAAATCCACTCTGGGTCTGAGGCTGTGGCTCAGGGGTAGAGCGCTCACCTCACACATGTGAGGCACTGGGTTGGATCCTCAGCACCACATAAAAATAAATAAATAAAGTAAATTCCTTCTATTTTATCAACCTCTAGTTATTATTTGAAATCCAAAAGTATTAGCAGAGCAGTTAGGAAGAATACTGTGGGAATCACACTACCTGGGATCAAATCACAGCCAAATCAATCACGTTTTAATGGTCTGATCTTGTAAAACTTCCCTTCAGTTTCTTAAAACGAAAAATAATAAAAGTATCTGCCTAAATGAATAACAGACACAAGCAGCTTAGAAGACTGCTTTATGTACAGTAAAATGCTGGCAGAAGTTAATACTTTGACTATATCATTAATTCTTTAGAAAATAATCAATTAGGGAATGGTTTTATGTATTACAAAAGAAGGCATTACATATTTTAAATTACTTGATCTGTTAATTTAGATTTCACAGTCACTTCCCAAATGTAAATTAAGCATAACACAGTATTTTACATAATTCTATATTTTCGTTAAAAGTAATTACATTATGGGTTGAATATACCATTATCTGAAGTGCTTGGAATCAGAAGTGTTTCAGATTTCAGAGTTTTTTGGATTTGGGAATATCTGCATAGCTTTTACTAGTTGAGCACTCTTAATCTATTAATCAAAAATCAAAAACTCTGGAGGATCATCAGTACTCAAAAAGTTTCAGACTTGCCAAGAGTGGTGGCTCCTACCTGTAGTCCCACCAACTCAGAAGACTGAATGGGGAGAATCACAAGTTCAAGGCCAGTCTCAGCAACTTAGAGAGGCCATGAGTAATTTACTGAGAACCTATTTCAAAACAAAACAAACAAACAAATAAATAAATAATAAAAGGGCTAGGGATGTAGATTTGTGGTGAAGTGCCCAAGGTTTCAATCCCTAGTACCAAACCAAAACACTAGTTTCAGACTTTGGAGCATTTAAGACTAGCATTTGGATTGGGGATCCATAACCTGTAAAAACTATTATGATGTCAAGGACAAAACATGATCTTGACAGAAAATGAGAAGGGATGGGGCTGGGGGCAATAGGTCTAACATAGATAGAAGACCTCTCTATGATACATGTCATAGAACAAAATACACATTTAAAACAAAATACAGATTTAAAACAAAATGTATAGAAAACCCCAGACTTCACACAAAAACACAAAAATTAGAATAAACAAACTTAACAAAGTTGCAGCGTATAAAATCTAATACAAAATTTAGTTATACTGCTATGCCCCAAGTGAATTATCTGAAATAGAAATCAAGAAAGCAATACTATATACAGTAGCTCCAAAAAATAAAAATAAAATATATATTATAAATACCTAGGAATAAATTTAACCAAAGAGGTGAAAGATCTCTACTGTGGAAAAAAAAAATTGATGAAAAGAATTAAAGAGAGGGGCTGGGATTATGGCTCAGGGGTACAGTGCTCACCTTGCACATGCAAGGCCCTAGGTTTGATCCTCAGCACATAAAAATAAATAAAGTTAAAAGAAAAACAAAAGAATTAAAGAGGACATAAAATAAGGGAAAGACATTCTATGTTCATGAACTGGAAAAATTARTATTGTTAAAATGCCCACACTAACCAAAATAATGTAAACATTCAATGCAATTTCTATCAAAACACCAATAATATTCTTCATAGAAGTAGATAAAATGACCTAGCTTTTTTTTGTAGCCACAAAATCCCTGAATAGCCAAGGTAAACTTTTTTTTTAATATTTATTTTTTAGAAGTAGTTGGACACAATATTTTTATTTATTTATTTATTTTTATGTGATGCATGTGGTGCTGAGGATGGAACCCAGTGCATCGCAAGTGCTAGACGAGCGCTCTACCGCTAAACCACAATCCCAGCCCTTAGCCAAGGTAATCTTAAGCAAAAGGAACAAAGCAGGAGGCATTATACTCAAGTTGCAGTAATCAAACATCATGGTATAGACATTTGGGGCTCGGATGTAGCTCAGTGGTAGACTGCTAGCCTAGCAGGTACAACACCTGGGTTCAATCCCTAGCAAAACACACACACTACAGACACATATTCTAATGAAAATACAATCAAGAGCCTAGAAATAAACCCTTGCTTCTATAGGCGTGTGTGTGTGTGTGTGTGTGTGTGTGTGTGTGTGTGTGTGTGTTTTGTGTGTATGTATGTACTAGGGATTGAATCCAGGGGCACATCCCCAGCCCTTTAAAGAAAAGACAGGGTTTCAATGAGTTACTTAGGGCCTTGCTAAGTTGCTAAAGTTTGCTTTGAACTCATGATCATCCTGCCTCAGCTTCCCAAGCTGCTGGGTTTACAGATATGCACCAACATGCCCAGCCAATTTTTGACAGAAGGGCTAAAAACACACCCTAAAAAAAAGACAGTCTCTTCAATAAATGGTAATAGCAGAAGAATGAAACTAAACCCCTATGTCTAAATCATATACAAGAATTAGCTCAAAATGTATTCACAATCAAAATTTAAGACCTTAAACTATAAAACTAGCAAAAAAAAAAAAAAAAAAAAAACAAAGAAAGAAAAATGCTTCAGGATACTGGAATGGATAAGAATTTTTTTGGACAAACCCCAAAAGCACAGGCAATAGAAGCCAAACCAAATAAATGGGCTTTCACACTAAAAAGATTCTGCACAGCAAAAAATAAAAATAAAAAATAAATAAAAATAAATAAACCTATTAACAGAGCAAAGAGTAACCTAAATAACAGAAGAAAGTACCTGCAAGCTATATATCAATTAGGGGTCAATATCCAGAATCTAAGGAATTCAAATAGCTCAACAACAAAAACAAAAATAAATACACAAAACCCAAATATTCCAATTGAAAACTGGGCAATAGACCTGAACAGAAATTTCTCAAAGATGATATGCAAAATGCCAACAGGTTTATTTATATTAAAAAATGCTCATTATCCTTAGCTATCAGGGAAATAAAAATCAAAATCATAATGAGATATCATCTTATTCCAGTAAGAAGAGCTATCATCAAAAAGACTTAAAAGATTGTAAGTGAGAACAGGGATATGGAAAAAGGGAAACCGTAGACTGTTGGTGGAAATGTAAATCTGCGTAGCCATTATGGAACCAGTACAGAGATTCCTTGAAAAACTGAAAATACAGAAATCCCACTCACTAACATCTATTCAAAGAAAWTGAAATTAGCATGTTRAAGAGACATCTGCACCATTTTATTTGTCATAGTACTATTCACAGCAGCCAAGAAATACAAACACATTAAGTGTTCATCAACTGATAAATGGATAAACATGGTACACATACACAATGACATATTATTCAGCCAGAAAAAAGAAAAAAATTATGTCATTTGCTACAATGTGGATAGATCTGGAAATCATTATGTTGTTATGGTTGTTTACTTTGTTGACTGAACTTGGGGCACTTAACCACTGAGCCATATCCTTAGCCCTTTTAATTTTTTGAGACAGGATCTCACTAAGTTGCTGAGAGCCTGACTAAGTTGAAGAATGCCTCACTAAATTGCTGAGGCTGGCTTTGAACTTTTGATCCTTCTGTGTCTGCCTCATAAGCCACTGGGATTATGAGGCATTTCCCATCATGTGGGGCTGTTTATGAAATAGGACAGGCACATAAAACCACTGAATGTTACTCATATCTGGCACACAGAAAGCTGATTTCATAGAAAATTATAGTGAATAATAGTTACCAGAGGCTAAGGAGAGTATTATTGGGAAAGGTTAGTCAGTGAGTTCTAAGATATGGTTAGGAGTAAAAACAGTTCTGGTGTGCTACTGCATAGTGGGATGACTACAAATGATAACACAACCTAGATGCATTTCAAAAACCTAGAATAAAGAATTTCCAAGGTTCTCACCATAAAGAAAAAGATGTTTTAGGAGATAAGACAGACATGTTTAACCTAATTTAAAAACTATACAATGTTCATATATACTGAAACATCACATGGTACTCCATTAGTAAGTCTTATGTGTGCTAAAAAATAAATAAAAAGGAACAAAACCAAATGTGATTATCATATATATCTCTATGATTTTGTAAACTGATTTTTCAGGTTTACTAAGAGTTTATCACAAGGTTTACCAACTATTTATCAAGAATATTTTGCCAAATTATTAATGGAAACCCATTAGACAGGTTTGACAGTTCTCTTATTTAGTTTTAGTATAATGTTTTCAAATGAAAGAAATAAATAAAGCAGATAATTTAAGAGCTGTTCCAGCTGAATCCCATAGTAAAGTCATTAAATCTAGAATCTGAGTGTTCCATTTGCTTCCACAGAGTATCTATCTCTTCTTTCTAAGAAGAGCACTGGAGAACACTTATGCATGGTTCAATGAACCAGTCTGAAAACTATTCAACTAAAAATTCTACCATATGGAAATCCATTATTTATTTAACTGAACTGCTTCTACGTTGAACATCTGACTTCTATCTCCAATGAGCATTTCTACAGCTCACTACATACACATATTTAGAATTATTGCCAAATTGCCCTCCAGCAAAGTTATAACCATCTACAAACTCAACATCTCACATCTTCAAACACTAACCAAGATGAGACCCTGTCATACTTCTAAAATTTTCAGCAATCTGGATAGTTAACAAAAGGTTATTTTAATTTCATATTTTCTACTTTGATTACTACCTTGATTGAAATTCATTCATTTTCTTTATTCACTTTTCAATGGTTTGTTTCTATTTCTTGGCTTTTAAAAAATTAACACACAAAAGATCAATTTACACTTTGTCAAATAATTCCCTATATCCTCATTTGCATTTACCTATCCAATTCTATTTATGGTATTTTGGAACACTTATGTTTGGTTTTCAATTAGTTAAAGAAATTTTATCTCATGTTTGGAAGGGCATTTCCTAAGATTATATAAAAATATATCCTTTCAGTAGTTTTTTCATTTCTTTAGCCTGTAGCCTTTTTTCCTTTTTGGTGGTACTGGGGAACTTAATAAAACTTAAGTTTGAGGCCAGCCTGGGCTACTTAATAAAACCCTATCTCAAAATGAAATTTTAAAAAGGGCTGCTCTACCACTGAGATATATCACCAGCTCATTTTAAAATTTCATTTTGAGACAGGGTTTTATTAAGTTGCCCAGGCGAGCCTCAAACTCAAGATGCTCTTGCCTTAGCTTCCCCAGTAGCTGGGATTATAGGCATGTGCCACTGCACAGGGTTTCAGGTTCCCATCTGAACCAAGTCCAAGTATTTTCCTCTGAACCCTGACATATCTATGCAAATATGTCATTTTTTAACATATAAGATTTTATTTTATAACAAATGTTCTTTTTTGGGGGGATATTCCTATTCAACAGTACTATATAGAAATTCTAAAAGTTATTGATAGAGTTTTAACTTTTACTATCAATGGCTGCTTCAAACAGTTATACCATAACTTCTTCATTCATATCCATATTAATGGACAATGATTTTGTTTGCAGTTGTTTGTTAATACATTAATCATGCTTGTACATATAGCCTTACAAACTGGAGAGGGGGCAGGAATTCCTTTCAGAAGGATTCTAGGGATTTAGTTATTTGGTTGAAAGTGTATGTTTAAGGGACTGGGGTTGTGGCTCAGTGGTAGAGTGCTTGCCTAGAACGTGTGAGGCACTGGGTTCAATCCTCAGCACCACATGAAAATAAATAAATAAATAAATAAAATGAAGGTATTGTGTCCATCTACAACTAAAAAAATATTTTTTTAAAAAAAGTATATGGTCAAGATTTTTTTAGAATGCTTTTACTTTGCTTTCCCCAAAGGACACTGTAACTTTGTTTACTATAAGCAAATTAGTAACGTATGTTTTCCCTTGAATTTTCGCTAGTACATATCATTTTGAATTGATTTGCAATTAATTTTGCTAGTCTGTTTAGTATATAGTTACAATATTTCATTTTCTTTAATTTATACTTCCTTACTAMATTTATACTTTTCATGTGGTGGTGTAGTGTCTGAATATTCTCTTTGTCTATTCCTAGCCTTTATTTTCTTTCTATCCACTAACTTTAAAAAAAAAAAAAAGTCTATTATAGGCATTAAAGTTTTATGTCATCTGCATTTCAAATATTTCTCAGTGTATCTTTTATTTATAAATTTGTTACTCTTCCATGGGAACATTTTGAAATTTTTCCTATAGTAGAAAGTAAATATAATTACATTATAGTAAAATGCAAATAAGTTAAAATGACTTTTCCCTGTCTTCTAGATTTTACAAGAAATCTCCTTATACAAGTTCAGTACCTCTAATCTAAAATTAGAAATGATCCAAAATTGGAAACTTTTTGAATGCAAACGTCATGCTACAACTGGAAGATTCCACATACCTGACCTCAAGTGATGGATTTAGTGAAAGCATGGGCAAATATGTAAAATTATTTAGGAAGTTCTCTGCACAATGCATGTATACAACATAAAAGAATTTCCTGTTCAGACTTGGGTCCATCCCCAAGATATCTCATTATATACATGCAAAAACTCCAAAATACAAAAATACTTGAAATGTGAAACACTTAGGGTTCCAAATACTTCTGATAAGAGACATTCAACCTAAGGTGCTGGGGATGAGGCTCAAGTGGTAGTGCACTTGCTCGCCTGGCATGAGTGAGACCCTGGATTCAATTTTCAGCACCACATAAAAATAAAATAAAGATATTGTGTCAACCTAAAACTAAAAAATGAATATTAAAAAAAAAGAAAGAGACACTCAACCTATATTTAGACATATTGCTATAAAGTCAACACTTCTTTTCTTGCTGAATTTTTATACTTGAGCCTTTAGTTTAAATGAATCTTATCTTTACACTGTTTAATGTCTTCTGAAATGACTTTCCAAGTAGCATTAAAGTCTCGATTACTAAATAATCAATTTTTTTCCTTCTACTGAACTGTCAAATTGCCCTCCAAGAAAATATTTACATCCTAGCAGGAAAATGTTAATCTGAACAAATAAATGTCAACCAACAAGTGTGAAAAGTACCTGATCTTTCATTCTTGCTTTTCTTGGCAATGTAACTGTATTCAATTCTGATTCTGTTGGAATGCTTCTTAGTTCATGCTCTGCTCTGCAGATATTTTCATTTAGTGCTGCYTCTACTTTTCCAGTGGATGGTACAGGGGAAGAACATGCTGAGTCAGCAGGTTGAGGAGATATGCTCTCTCTTCTGTTATTCTTGTCATTGTCATCATCATCATCACTGGACAAAATGACTAAAATCATAAAAAATTCATAATTTATATTATGAGTTCACATAAGGGCAGTTCTTTAAACCTACAATACAACCCCTGATCTTGGACTTTAGTCTCCACAACTGTGAGAAAACAAATTTCTTTTAAGACACCTACTCTGGGTATTCTTTATGGCAGCCTGAGCAGTCTAATAAAGGGTTCTCTGTGCTTATATTCTAAACTTCTTCACACCTCCYCCCCAACTCTTTCTGCTCATTTCATTCTGAGCTAGAAGTTACCTATCAAAGAYGCCTATTCTGTGACTTACCAAAAAATAACACCCTCCCTCCTCTTCACACTAATGTACTAATATGGGTTGAGGATATTTTTGGTTTTGTTTCATTATTTTGGTATTAGGGACTGAACCCAGGGAGTCATGCATGCTAGACAAGCAATCTACCACTGAGCTACATCCCCTGCCCTTTTTAATTCTTTTTTCTTGGTTATTTTTAGTTGTACACGATGGTAGAATCCATTTTGACATAATTATACAAGCACAAATTCAGACCCCAGTACCTCTCCTTCCCCTTCCTTCTCTCCACCCTCTTTCTGCCATTTACTCATAATTATTATTTTTTAATTAATTTCTTGTGTATGTACACAACATTGAGATTTACTGTACTATATTTATATATGTATATAGCAAAGTTTGTCATATTCATTCCACTGTCTTTCCTTTTCCCATTTCCTCTCTTCCTGTTATTCCTGTCAACTTCACTGAACTTCTCTCTCCCCCACTAATTGTGGATTAGCCTCCACATATGAGAACACTGGACCTTTGGTTTTTTGGGGATTGGCTGATTTCACTTAGCATGATAGTCTCTAGACCCATTCATTTACCAGCAAATGTCATAAAGTCATTCTTTACAGCTGAGTAATACTCTACTGTGTACAAATATCACATTTTCTTTATTCACTCATCTGTTGAAAGGTGGCTTTATACCTTGGCTATTAAAAATTGTGCTGCTCTAAACATCGATATGGCTGGATCACTACAGTAAGCTGATTTTAAATCTTTTAGATATATACTGAAGAGTGGGAAACTGGTTCAAATGGTGGTTCCAATCCTATTTTCTCTGTGGAATCTCCACATTACCTTCCAGAGTGGTTGCACCAATTTCCAGTTCCACCAACAAAGTATAAGTGTATCCTTTTCCCCACATCCTTGCCCCCACTGTTATTTGTATTCTTGATAATTGCCATTCTGATTGGAGTGAAATGAAACCTCAGTATAGTTTTAATTTGCATTTCTCTAATTGCTAGAGATGTTGAACATTTATTTTATTTTGATACAGGAACTCCCTAGGTTGTCCAAGCTGGCCTAGAATTTTCTATCATTCTATCTCAGCCTCCTAAGTATCTGGGACTACAGGCTTACACCTACATTGCCCAGATAGGGATAAATGAAACTTAATTTGTATTCCTGGGGTACAGAAAAAAAATCTTAATTTCTCCATTTATTTACCAGTTTTCAGAATACCACTTTGGGACCCTTAGAAAGATAACTAACGGAGAAATTTTCTTTYAAGAGAAGAGGAGTATTATAACAAATTAATTGATTTTAATATATTCAAATATTTCAATGACTAGTAGTAATGACTCTTTGTGACCTAAGTACTTCCATTACTTTGGGAGTCCTTTCATTTTAGTTCTTTTGTAGTAGTTTTGACCACTTTCACACTTCCTCATCTGACTGATAATCTAGGTTTATCTCATATTTTGTACTGTTAACCTGGAATAAAGTCATTTCTCTGAGCAACTCTGGTTATTTTTAGTAGGAAATGGTGCCTAAAAATATTGTTCATTCTTTCTTTTTCTTTATCTTTTTTCTTTTTTTTAAGGCATGTTCGTTTCTATACCAGGGATGTTTACCATTTCTAAGCCTTTTCTATATTGTTTTTGGTACCAGTGATTGAATCCAGGGACACTCAACCACTAAGCCACACCCCCCAGACCCTTTTTATATTTTATTTAGAGACAGGTTCTTACTAAATTGCTGAGGGCCTTGCTAAGTTGCTGAAGCCGCCTTTGAACTTGCGATCCTCCTGCCTCAGCCTTCCAAGCTGCTGGGATTACAGGTGTGTACCATAAGTATTTTCTAAAGGTAAAGTTAGGATACATGTATTTTATGTTTAAAATAAAATACATAATAAATTCACATTATCTCCAATTCAAATGTAAAGTTTTAGGACTTTGGATTCCTTGATTTTACTTTAATATTTCTTTTTTTCTAACACTGAAACARTAATATAATAATTTCTTTTATTCATATACATGTGTTTATAAAAAACAATACCAATATTGGTTTTTTTTAATTTTTTTTTTAGTTGTAGGTGGACACAATATCATCATTTTTATTTATGTATTTTTATGTGGTRCTGAGGATTGAACCCAGGACCTCACAAGTGCAAGGCAAGCGCTCTACCACTGAGCTACAATCCCAGCCCCAATACCAATGTTGTTAATAACAATATTACTGAATAGACTTAGGATTTCTGTGAAATTCTGCTTAACCTTAAAATCATTGGATATACACACCATATTATTTTAATTTAAACTCATCTGAAACAATATGTTCAAGCTACCAAAATACAATTAAATTCATTTCTTAAATTATGCTTTAAAAAATTTTTATATGTAATTTCATTTTATAATTATGTAAAATATTTACATGGTTCCTAAGTAAAATCAACAAAACAATTTCTATTTGGAGAAATCTAACATCCATCTCCAGTGTCTGTTTCCTCTCATTCAACAAATATTTTTTTTATTAATTTTGTTAATCTATGTAAAAACTATTCTATTAATTTTGTTAATCTATGTAAAAACTATTCATCCCTGCACCATACAATCTTGTTTGCACCTGCTTTATTCACTTAAAGATCTTGGAAAATTACACTTTACATGTGATCTCCCCTTCTGTCTCTACAGCTACATAGTCTATAATTTCTACCAGTCTCATTGTTTTCAATTTTTGCTATTATTATTTTTTACAAAATAAAAATGCGTGCACATGTCCAAAGACAGGATAAACTTTTAAGGGAGGAACACTTTTTACTGAGTCCTGTTTGTCAAATATTTTATTGAGCTATGCTTATATGGCATTTATATGGTATTTATTCCCTTAAAACCACCATCAGTGGGCAAGGTGCAATGGCACATGTTTGTAATCCCAACCATTCAGTAGGCTATGGTAGGAGGACTGCAARTTTGAGGCCAACCTCAGCAACTTGGTGAAACCCAGTTTCAAAATAAAAAGAACTGGTGATGTAGTTTAGCAGTAATGTGCCCTGGGTTTAATCCCCTGTACCAAAATACAAACAAACCCCAAACAGCCCATTATCAGTGGGAACACTTGATCCAAGTCAGAAAACTGGGCATAAATAGCACTTGATCTACAACTGGGGTCAAGCCTGTGCTCTCTAGTACTTAAGATGGATGGGATGACATGCTCTTGGGGAGCCAGAATTAATATTGTCAAAATGGTCATATTACCAAAAAGTATTGTACAGATTTAATGCAATTCTTATAAAATCCTAATGACATTCTTCATAGAACTAAAAAAGGCAATCATAAAATTCATTTGGAAAATAAGAGACCCAGAATAGCCAAGCAATCCTTAGCAAGAAGAATGAAGCAGGAGATATCACAATACCAGACCTTAAACTATACTGCAGAGCTATCGTAACAAAAACATCATGGGAATGGCACCAAAATAGACATATAGACCAATGGTACAAAATAGAACACAGAGAGACAAACCCACATAAATACAGTTATCTCATACTGGACATGTGATCTCCCCAAAGATGCCAAAAACATACATTTGGGAAAAGACAGCCTATTCAACAAAAGGAGCTAGGAACAGGAAATCCCTACGTAGCAAAATGAAATTAAACCTCTGTCTCTCACCCTGCACAAAAATCAACTCAAAGTGGATCAAAGACTGGAACAGAGACCTTGTGCCTAATAGAAGAACAAGTAAGCCCAAATATTCATCATGTTGGCTAACTTAGGACCTGACTTCCTTAACAAGACTCCTAATGCACAAGAAGTAAAATCATGAATCAATAAATGGGATGAATTCAAACTAAAGAACTTCTTCTCAGCCACAGAAAACAATCAATAACATGGAGAGAGAGCCTACAGAATGGGAGAAAATCTTTAGTACATGCACTTCCGATAAAGCATTAATCTCCTCCAGGCATATAAAGAACTCAAAAGAACACCAAAAAAAAAAAACAAAAAAAAAAACCCAAATAACCCAATGAATAAATGGACTAAGGAACTGAACAGACACTTCACAGAAGAAATACAATTAATCAACAAACATATGAAAAAATGTTCATTATCTCTAGCAATTAGAGAAATGCAAATCAAAAWTACTCTAAGATTTCATCTCACTCCAGTCAGAATGGCAATTATCAAGAATAYAAGCAACAAGTGTTGGCAAAGATGTGGGGAATAAGGTACACTCACACATTGCTGGTGGGACTGTAAATTGTAAATTGGTGCAACCACTATGGAAAATTGTAAATTGGTGCAACCACTATGGAAAGCAGCATGGAGATTCCTTAAAAAACTTGGAATGGAACCACCATTTGACACAGCTAACCCACTCCTCAGTTTATACCCAAAGGACACCTCAGTTTATACCCAAAGTGATGCAGCCATATCAATGTTTACAGTAGCTCAATTCACAATAGCTAAACTATGGAACCAACTTCGATGCACTTCAACAGATGAAGGGATAAAGAAGTTGTGGTATGGAGCTGGTACTGTAGCTCAATGGCAGAACACTTGCCCCGTACATGTGAGACACTTGGTTTGATCCTCAGTACCACATAAAAATAAATATTTTGTCCATCTACAACTAAAAATTATTTTTTTAAAAAGCTGTGGTATATATACACAATGGAATATTACTCAACCTTAAAAAAGAATGAAATTATGGCATTTGCAGGTAAATGGATAGAGCTAGAGAATATCATGCTAAGTGAAATAAGCCAAACCCCCAAAACCAAAGACCAAATGTTTTCTCTGATAATTGGATGCTGATCCATAATGGTGGGGAGTTGGGGGAGAGGGGCAAAGGACTTTGGATTGGGCCGAGGGGAGTGAGGGGAGRGAAAGGGGTATGGGGGTGGGAAGGACTATGAAATGAGATAGACATTATTACCCTATATACATGTATGATTATATTACTGGTGTGACTCTGCACCATGTACAGCCAGAGGAATGAGAAATTGTGATCCCTTTGTGTACAATGTGTCAAAATGCATTCTACTGTCATGTATAAATAATTAGAATGAATTAAAAAATAATAATAGAAGATGGATAGGATGAACAAAGTCAGTTATTTTCACAATTGTGAGGACATTTAAAATTTTTTTTCCTTTAGTTGTCAATAGACCTTTACCTTATTTATTTATATGAGGTGCTGAGAATTGAACCCAGTGCCTCAAACATGCTAGGCAAGCACTCTACCACTAAGCCACAACCCCAGCCCTGTGAGGACATGTTTTAAACCCTAAAATATTACATAACTGGCACAAAGATACACTAAGACTATACTTCTGAAACATGCTCACAAATTTAAAACAAAATATAGAAAGTATTAGATAGATATAGCAAWATTAAAAAGAGTAAAATTATGTTAGGTGTGATAGTGTATGCCAATAGTACTAGTTACTAAGGAGGCTGAGGTATAGGAGAATTATTGAACCTAGGAGTTTGAATCAAAAAAGCGGGGAAGAGGGAGTGAATACTTACTTGGGTCATTTAGGTCTGACRGGCTTGTTTTTCTTTCTTTCAAGTTTGTGATTTTGGGTATTTTTGTCCCAGGTAAAATGACTTTTCCATTAGTCTGTAAATAATTATTTCTACTA